ATGCCATAATTCCAAGGCATTATGAATAATATGTGGAACAAGCAAGAAAAACTATTACTCTTTTCTGACCATTAAAGGATTTGGTAAAGGCCTGGCCCTTACCAAATCACAGGGTCTGTGCAATAGGATGAAGGGTCAGAGAGGCCTGCAATACAGGGGCTGTACTCTTACAAGGTTTTTCTAGTTTCTCTCCATTTTGCTCCCAGTAAACAGATCCACTATAATTTCCTCTCCTTCTGACATCCCTGTATGAGATCCTACCCAACTGGGTACAACTATTTGGTTCTCTCCCTATACAAATGGGCAGTAAAAATCTTCCAAACAACCCAACAATTGTGCATTCTTTATGATCTCTAGTTGTGGGTGAAGGGAGGTCTCACTAACACTTGATATAGATCTCAGTTACCCTTTTTTCTTAAGAGGGCTAATTCAGGGCTTATCCCTCGTGGATTTCTGACTTGTCATTATGTCTGTCATCATGACTTGTCATCATGTTTTTGAATGATAAATGGCTCTATTTTTCTTTTTTAAGTCTGATTTCTAATTTATGTTAGTTTTACTATTTAGTAAAAAGGTATATGTTCTCTCATTCTTAGTTAACAAAGAGAAATTGATTGGCCACTTTAGGGTGAACTACACATTCTCTGAGCTGGAATCAGGGGGGTAGATGCCTTTACCTTCTTCCTGAAGGCTGCCTTTCACCTAATCTTATTTGATTAGGAGAATTTTCAAAGATGGAAGATGGAATACAAGTCTCATAAATCTTAAGGGCTGGCTTTTAGCTCTCAGCCTTGAAATGCAAGGGAAATTTTCACTCAATCCTCAAACAAATCCCAATGAGTTCACATTTTTCATTGTATATAATTGATTTCAAAATTATGTATTGGCCATTATGGAATTTGGTACCCCCAGCATATTCATACATTGTCAAATTTGGAGCAGAAATTTTTATCTTCCCTAGTAAAGACTGAACAGAAAGTGCTTTTCATCTATCTGTCATTTATCTAACAATAATGACAGATCCCCTAATAATTCAGTTTACTATAAGAACATCTTTTTATGGCTACTTTCTGCCTTTAAGTCTCAAAGTTTAGGTATAATTTCAACTTTGTACATAATCTGGAATATTTTGGGCTTAACTTGGGTTCTCACTTAGTGACCATTTTTTCTTTTACAAAGATGCCTTTTTCCAAGAACATTTTTTAATATGTCAGTCATTAGCAAATATTTTTCTTGTATCTGATAATTTTTTCTTCTTGTACACATTTTTCCCAAGTATTTTATTATTTCATTACTCTTCAGAGCCCCCGGTATTTTATTGAAGCCCTATTAGAGCTCTTAATCACCTCATATTATATAATATTTAACTTGTAAAATATTACTGCCATCAACTATACTGTGTACTCTATCAGAATTTAATGAAAGTGAAAAATGAAAGTGTTAGTCACTCAGTCATGTCCTACTCTTTGTGACCCCATGGACTGTAGCCTGCCAGGCTCCTCTGTCCATGGAATTCTCCAGGCAAGAATACTGGAGTGGGTTGCCATAGAGTACATAGCCATTCCCTTCTCCAAATAATCTTCCTGACCCAGGAATCAAACCTGGGTCTCCTACATTGTGGGCAGATTCTTTACCATTTGCGCCACCAAGGAAGCCCAAAGTCATATCACTGCTTAAGTGCCCTTGTGGGACAGTAAGTTCCTTTAGCTACCATTTCCGGTTTTCCTAACCTTGAAAGAAACTGAAAACCACTGCCCACCATAGCAATATTCCCCCGGATGGACCTTCTTAAGTGCCTTGAAGCTCCATTTTAGTGTTGTTGTTGTTGTTTTTATTTCACCACCTCCTCCCGATTCCACTCCCAATAAAAAAAAAAAATTAGTATTTTCTCTGGGTAAGGTCTGGTTACTCATATGGCCAGAGGCACTGCCTCCCTGGTGATTCAGAATGTCATTTTCTGAACCTACGTCATTAATAAGCTATTTAGTTACTTATTGCACTCTCTTCCCCATCCCAACTCAGTTGTCTGTGTTCTTAGGTCAGTGTATTCTCTTTTATTTGTGATGGAAATATTGGAGTATAGGTCTGGAGAAAATCAACAAGGAGGCTTCTCAGGCAGTATTACTATTTTAGGCCTTAGACTACCAAGTGACTCGGGAAAACAAATAAAAGCTTAACATGTGGTCCACCACAAACATGAGAGCTAGGATATCTCCCACACAAGGGTTGGGAGCCAAAGCCCCAGCTAGTAATAAACTACTTGCCTTGAATTCTTTGAGATATCTTGGGGATATCTATAGTCTATCTCAAAAGTTCATTGGTGCTGGAACTGGGTGCTTAACCATCGCTCAATCACTCTCCATAGGAGATACTTCTTAAAATTTTATATTGGAGTATAGCCAATTAACAATGCTATGATAGTTTTAGGTGAGCAGTGAAGGGACTCAGCGACACATATACGTGTATCCATTCTCTCCCAAATTCCCTTCCCATCCAGGCTGTCATGTAACATTAAGCAGAGTCCCATGTGCTATGCAGTATACCCTTGTTGGTTATCCATTTTAACTAGAGCAGTGTGTGCATGTCAGTCCCAAACTACCTAATTGTCTTTCCCCCTCATCCTTTCCCCCAGCAACCATAAGTTCATCATAGGAGACACTTTTGAGGAAACAAACAATTCTGTGAGATAAAAGAGTACTTTCATGTTCAGTTTAAAGAAGAGAAGCCTATGAGAATTTAATGACTTCAAATCTCTAACACAAGTTTTTTCAACTGTTGTGAGTTTCAGCTTCCTTTTAGAAGTTGACTGAACTGTGAACTCACCAAGAAAAAAGGCTCTTACACATACAACTTTTCCTACAACATTTCAGACATGCACAGACACCATGAAACATATCTACCTAGCAGTCCATGAACCCTAGGATAAATGTTTCTACCATAAAGATTCTTCACCTGTAAAAATGATGCATTTTTGCTTTGAGGTCACGAAATGATGTATTTAATCCAAAAAGTATTAAATTATAGTATACAAAAGAGGAACCATATTTCAAGCTGTGTAGGATTTAAAATTGCTAGAGGCACATTTTCTTTAAAGGAGCCTCATAGAGTCTGAAGTTCATTCTAAGAGAAGAGTTTACATGATTTTAAATAAGGCTGGTGAGTCCCTCTTTACAACCTAAGTGAGCCAAACTCATCCGTAAAACAAACATACTCCACAGAATAAATAAGTAATACAATGCTATATTATATTTTCTCTTCCTAGATCATAGCATGCTAGGAAGGCAACAGTTACATTGTGGCTAAACATGTTGAATTATTCAAAAGTGTCCTAGTCCTCTTCAGGAGATATGACAGGAATCAGAGTCTTATTTTACAATGAGACATTTTCCCATCAGTCTAGTCTACAGTAGCACACTTTCTTCACTGTGCTCCTGTGGTCAAGGAATATAGACTTAACTCACCAGCACTGGGTTTTTTTTGGAATTCAGTATATGTGTATCAGCAGAATTCTCTCTACGTGCTGGGAGCCGGCACATGAGATCCCAGCCATGACAAGGTCACTGAGGAGAAAACCTGACGGGCAAGGCGGATCAGGTTCTCAGGGATTTCGAAAAGCTGCCCCCAGCGCTCACCTTAAAGATGATATCTGTCTTTCTGATGCTTGCCTCAATGGTCTCTGACACAGGCAGGAAGGCCTTCCCCGATCTCTTCCCAAATAAGAATCAATTTAGAACTTTAATCAATAAGTTTCCCAGGTGGTGGTATTTTATGAGATTATCCAGGGTGAAAGGAGTGTTTTAATTTAAACTCCTTTGCTGGTAGTTTGTTAGCCAAATGCATTTATGCCCTTGGTACTAATATGCATGATTGCTTATAATATCCTAATCATAAAATAGCATAAAGAACCTGATTATATAAAAGCCCTAATAGACATAGAGCCTTTTTGAGGGGTGAAGGAGTCCTATTAGAAAACATAAGAAAAATTATTCTAAAGGTGGTTATTGGGTTGAGGTTTGCTTGCTGTGTTTTGCTTGCTGTGTTTTTGCTTTTAATGTGCTAAGGTTGTGTTATAGAAACCATTGTTAACATAGTTAAAGATCTAGAGAAATAAGGACTTAGCCCTAGTGTGGTAACAATGAGATGGTTGCTAATTGTCAGCCAGGAGTGCTAGGCAGAGGCTGCCTCACTAAAGCTGCAGAGTCTGTGTGGGGTAAACTTCTTAGATAAATGCAACTGACAACTTCTGCAGAAGGATTAATTTTTGTGTTAACAAGGTTATACTTCTACTCTGTACTGTTGCCCTATGAGACTGCTACATTTCAGTTAAGGTCACCATAGAAACAGAAAATAGGTTTTCATTCACCTGACTTGCATAAAATGTTAATAGGCCCCAAGGCCAGAAGATAATGTACAAGACCCTCATAAACAAAGAAGTATGCAGAAAACACCCTGGTTTTGTGAAGGACAAGCTGACGTAATGTTAAACTATCTTCCCCTTAGAAATGTACTAACTTAGGGTATAAAAGCTATGGTAAAATATAAAGCATTGCCAGACACTGCCAGACCCTGTACACCCCCATCTGGTCATTCACTCTCTCTCTCTCTCTCTTTCTCTCTTTCTCCGTCGCAGACTTGGCCCTATCAAGGCTGGTCTCACGTGTCTTCTATCTCTCGCCAACGCCGTTCATCCTGAGGGTACCCCCTGGATCCTGCTGGGGCTGGACCCCGGCATCTAAGGACCTTTTGTTTTGGTCAAAGCTTTATCTCACTTCTTTGTTTGTAATTTTATTTCTGTATATGTGATAATATTACAGTAATAATCTACTGGGACTTGAGGAGGTCCAGGAAATAACACTACTCTTTCCCATCATTTATGAATCAACTGAGAAATGAGTCTGCAAATGGAGGGTAAAATCCCAATTTTCTTTATAACAAAGTAGAAATTTTAGCAATTGGACTTCCTAATGCAGAAGCACAGAGTTAGACATTTTTCCCTATAAATGGCAGCACAGTACACCATCAGAGCCTCCCCCAAACAAGCGTAAGCCTTCCCTGAGAAAAGCCACTCATTCTCAAGAGGAGGCTAGAGGAAAGAGACAGACACATGTGCTCAGCTTTCCTTCTAAAATCACAAATCAAGTAAGCTACTCAACCTCCCAGGAGACAGTGTGAATGAAGGTGAAAGGAGGGGTCAGGAGTGCGGTGCTACTTCAGTTCCGTTCCTGTGGAAGGAAATGTCAGGAACATGGAGGCAGTTATTCCCCACCCTACACCCCTAACAGTATCTAACACTGTGTTCTCTTGCCTCATTAAGTCTTTAACCAGAGGCGTGGTATATCAAAACAGTCGCACTTCTACTTTGATGTGGCTGCTCCTCCAATGCAAATCATTGCTCTGTTGAAAGGCTCTTGGAGCTTTGCTTGCAGGACAGTTCTAAAATGGATCAAAACTGTGAGTTAACAAAATCAAATCTGAGGTCAAACTAGACCACAACTGAAAATTCATTTTCTACTCTTTTCTCCTTAACAAACTGTGTTTTAGCTACAGTGTCCAAAATAACAGAGGTTCTTCAATGAGATTAAATTGTATTCTTAAAATATAATAATAAATTGGAGAGTCAAATGTTATATTTGTGAACAACTTTATAAAATATTGTTAATTTAAATGAAATTACAGACTCTCAGTTCTTTAAATAAGAAACCCAAGGAGTCATGGGTTATTTATCTATAAGCACTTGGCAGAAGAAAATCCCATGACTAACAAATGTCATAAGTATGTAGACCTTTCAGAAAATAGAGGTATCAGCTTAAATAACACCATGGCCATAATTAAGATCACCAATAAGAATTACATTTTAGGGGCTTGAAGTTAGCTTTATAGCACATGGCAACAATTTCTAATGCCCAGTCTTAGAAGAATCTTTGTCAGAAATAATATTTGCAAGGACATGTTTTATATTACAGAATAATGTTAGCTTATCTGAAGCTCTAGGAGAATGAATGTTTTCTTATATTCTTGCTGATATTTCTTCAGCTAACAGATAGGACAGCATTGTGATTTTCAAATCATGGTGCTACAATTTAATTAGTTAGCACTGAAACAAAATTTAAAATCCTGAAGAAGGTAAAAATATACTCTATGACAAAGGTGGGGGCAAAATAAGGTTATTAACAAATGGAATATGTGACACGTAAGATTGAATACTTATTCTATAAAGTGCAGTACACACGACTTAATATTATTATTTAATATTTAAGTAAACATTCATCACCCATGGTATAGATGACAGAGAACTAACAAGGTCATCACACAAAACTTCTCTTCCAGAGTGGCTCACCAGGTCAGACCATCCTCCCTGGACAAGTTCTTCAAACACCATGAGTTTCTCTGTTATTTGCCACAGTGATTCAGAGACAAACATCATTATCAGTCAAGCAACAGAATGAGGTAGGATGTGATTTTCAAGATATTGTCCCATTTACTTACACAGATATTTAACTGGTTAACCCCTGATGGTTGTTAACAAGGCACTAGGTATCACAGAATATTCTCTCTAACAAACAGGCCACAAATAAACATTTGTGCTCCTGTAGATCAGAGTAATTCCATAAATTGAACTTCAGTTTCTTCTTAGTCAAGTCCACCTGTCTGAAATGTAGCTCACGTACTTCTCCTGCCCACTCTGATCTCAGCTTCAACAAGTCCACGGGGGCCCAGGATTCAAAGCCACTTTTGGATTAAATAGTTCACTCTGCCCCTCCTTGACATTTCTGGGCCCTCAATATGAAAATTTCTAGGTTCAAGTTCTAGGGTATCATTCCAAAGCAGATATGATGGAAATGGCCTACTACCCAACACTGTCTATACCTGTCAGGAAACATCTACAGGGAGTGCAAAGCTAAAAAAAATTGGCAGTAATGTCATATATATCTTCTAAAATTAAGATAGGCAACATGAGAGATTTAAAGACATGGAGAGCAGAGGGGAATTCAACCAGAGGCAGCTCAATGACAGATACCCACTACCAGAGATGAGAAAGGAAAAAGGAAAAGAAAAGAGAGAGAAGTAGAAATAAGTGGAAAAACTGGGTGAAAGACACACAGAGGGGGGAAATTGAGAGTGTGTAGAAAAGGAAATGGAAGAAGAGAAAATGAAGAACTAAACATTAAGAAGGAATACAGTGTCTATAAGCATCTGAAAGTAGAAGGGATCTATCTGATATACCCTAACTCCAAAACACGATTAAAAAGTAGGAAAGATTTAAGGTGAGCATAATGACTTCCTAAACATTACAGTGAGAATATCACATGCAAATTCTGAATGTTTGTTCTCTGATGATAGAAAAAGGACATGATTTACTGCTATTAGTAAAGGGACAGATTGAAGTTGTCTGAAGGTCTATTCAGAAATATTGAATTTGTGCCCTACTCAGAACTCCCCTGTTCTCACAGGATGGTTGGATCCTTTCCACCCAATTATGTATAGAGCTAAATTCCTATACTCGGCTTCAATTCCTGGATCAGGAAGATCCCCTGGAGGAGAAAATGGCAACCCATTCCAGTATTCTTGCCTGGAGAATCCCATGGACAGAGGAGACTGACAGGCTACAGTCCATGGGGTCGCAAGAGTGGGACACAACTTAGTGACTAAACCACCACCACCATACTTGAGCTTTTTTTTTTTTTTTAGAAAAATACATTTTCAAGTGTCTGTCAAGTGCATCCTTGATATAATCTTCTATGAACTAACGTCCCTTCCTCTGAAATACTCCACTCCTCTGTTTGGCATGGGTTCTGGAAATCTATCTTGTTTTTTCATCTCTGAATGCATTTTTACTAAAGACTAATCTTTCAACACTTAGAATCCTGCAGCAGATACTTTACTTGACTTCAACCTGATTAAACTAGAATAAAATATAGCCACCACTTCCTTATTTTTAATGTTATGATTCCATGGATGCAGCCTATGGTGACCATGGTACTCTCACTGCCCCATACAATGCCAATTATATTATGTTTACTTAGGTTTCAAAACATTTATCACCACTCACCCATCTTGTGCTATTATAGCTGTGTTTCTGGGATCAAGTGAGTACCTTGCATTACTCTACAGCTGTCGCTCTTGTGCTTTCTCTGTCCCTCCTCCTCAAGCAGATCCAAGCCAGTGGACCTAAGGAATGGCAGCACCGTGACTGAGTTGCGTGGGTGTGGCTGAGTGCATCCTCTTGGCTTTCATGGCCTATGACCGTTATGTTGCCATCTGCCACCCACTGACCTATGCCCAGGTCATGAGCCGGCAGGTCTGTGTGAGCCTGGTGAGTACTGCCTGGTCCTTCGGGCTGATCAATGGCATCATGCTTGAGTATGTGTCATTCCGGAATCCCTTCTGCAGAGACAACCACATAGAAAACTTCTTCTGTGAGGCCCCCATAGTGATTGCTCTCTCCTGTGGAGACCCCCAGTTTAGCCTGAGAGTCATCTTTGCTGATGCCACTGTGGTGCTGCTCAGCCCCATGGCGCTCATCGTCATCTCCTATGCCCGCCTCCTGGCCTCCATCCTGGGCAGGAGCTCCTCCTCTGGTTGGGGGAAGACCTTCTCTACTTGTGCCTCCCATCTGACCGTGGTCATTTTTCTCTATACCTCGGCCATGTTCTCTTACATGAACCCCCGTAGCACACACGGTCCTGACAAAGACAAGCCTTTCTCCCTCCTCTACACCATCATCACCCCCATGTGCAACCCCATCATCTACAGTTTCCGAAACAAAGAAATGAAGGGGGCGATGGTGAGGGCCCTTGGGAGGAGCAGTCTTTCCCAGGCAGAGTCTGTCTAGTGGGGAGATGCCTGGAGGGGCAGCTTCCTCCTCCAGCCCTGAGAGCTGGGTAACTCACCAGTGCTGAGAGGTTCCAGGAAAGAGCATTCATAGGTTCCTTTGCACCAGCATCAGGCCTGGAAGATCCTATTGATATGTAATGCTCATCTGCATGATGTACCTTTAAGCACTGTATTCTCTTGGACCTTCTTCAGGAGACTTGGAGACCTTCCTGCTGAGTAATTTTCTTTTAAGTTTTCACAACAGGATCTATAAACACATAAGGACACTTAATTCTATTTCATTTTCTTTGCATAGCACTTTTATGTGCTCTTCCTAGCCTGAGTTCTGCCTAGACACTTAGAAGTACACTTCTTTCAATTTAATCTGTTTTTCTTTCTCACACTCCACTCTCTCTTACTGAATCTGCCCTCATCCACTCTGCTCCTATATGAGGAACAGTAGAGGAAGAAGAAAGAAAAAAAGGAATCGGGGAGCAGTGTTAGGCATTAAGAAAAGTCAGCTAGAGAAAAGAAGAAAAAGAAAAATTAGGGATCAGCAGCCTAAACTTCATCTTATTTGCCTCCACTAGCCCATGAGGGGGAATTCGTGGTGGCATTAAATTATCAACACTGCATTTGGTGTATGTTGTGCTTCTCCGTGTTGGGAAAGGGCAAGTAGGAGATGCCAGGTGTCACATGCCTTCTTCTAAGTCCTCCAGTTTCCTTAAATGCATGACTATTTTATATTTTCAGTTAGATCCTAGTAATACATACCTCTACCAAGCTTCTCAGACTACCAGTTTCTTCCCTGGCACCCATGCCCCTAGTTAACTCCCCTCTCTCTACTGCCTTCCTTTCTGGTAGCCATCTATCATTTAATTCCAGTTCAGTCCTATTCCATCTTACCACCTCATCATCAGTGGAAACATTTCACTCCCTGTATTTTAAGGAACATCACTCCAACGCTACTTCCACCACTTCAGAAGACTTTCTATTTGTGATCCCAATCTTTCTAGCCTCATTTAGTGTATCTCCTTAACTTAATCCAACATACCTTGAAGGTGCATTATATTCTCAGCTGTTCTCTTTCTTTGAAGACTGCATCTTTCTCATGCTCCTTTCATAATAGATAGGAAAGAAAATGATACAGGCCTGTGCTTTGTTTTCTTGTTCTACTTCCATTAATATGGATGCACCTCAGTTGGGATGCTCTCAGATAGATCTACAACACTTTCCACATCCTGCATATCACCTACTACCCTCTACAGTGACCTAACATAGTAGCTTCACTCCACAAAGCTCTACTCTTTTGAGTCCAAACTGGTGAGTCTGTAGATATGAGAATATGTAAGAAGCACTTCCCAGATAACAAGGAGGAAATGAGACACTACTGTAATCAAGAAGAAACAACAAGCAAAGTACCTAAACATTTACATCATCAAAGAAAAACTACACCAGGGCAAAGGGAAGCAGGCAAGAAAGACTTTATTTAAGACTACTGCAACAGGAGATCAAATTCAACTCTGCTGAAACAAGCAGCTGGAGAGTTTTTAAGAGCTGCAGTAGGGAAATATTTAGGCGACCTGTGGGTGGTAATTGCTCTTGCCCAAAGGAAAAGTAAGCTTGCATGCTGTAATTTATAGTTTGGGGCAAGACACCCATTAAAGTTAGATCCCTACCCTCCCACAGAGACTAGAAAATAGGGGTGCTATCTTCCTTGAGGATTATATTTCAAAGGGATGGCTCCCAGGTCCTTGAGTAAGACATTCTCTTGATCTAAAAACTGGAAAGTGATTTTAGGTAGGTTTCTGTACATCTCAAAGGGGCAGAGAAAGAATTTGCAATTCCAAGTTTCTAAAGTGAATGCTCTAAGAAAAGAGATCAGGGACAACAGTCAAGAAGAAACTTGTCCTTAGTCCAGGGAAAGGAAATGTTAAGGTCTTCCTGGTCACCATTATTCTTCCCTCAGGATCTCAGTTCCTTCTTCAATTTGAAAATTTCTGTTTCAAAAAGCCTTAAAAGTTTGTTAAAAGGTGGGGGTGGAAGGAAAGAGAAAAAAAAGAAGGGGAAAGGAGAGGAAAGTGTGCTTTTTAAAAAGTCTCCTGAGAAATAATTTATTATTTTCCCAGCACTGTTGCATGCTGACATAAACAAGACACAGTCCCAGCTTTTAAGTTCTAAGTCTATTAGGGCAGGTAAGAACAGACTCAATGAACATGAGTTTGGGTGAACTCCGGGAGTTGGTGATGGACAGGGAGGCCTGGCATACTGCGGTTCATGGGGTCGCAAAGAGTCAGACACGACTGAGCGACTGAACTGAACTGAACTGAAGAACTAGTAATGGTAATACAAAGGGCAAACTTATACAACAGGCCTATACAAACCAGAAGACTATATATGAGAAGACAGATAACAGCACTCACATTTATTAAGTACTTAGGTTCTAAGAGCTTCTTTCAATCTTCACAAAACCCTTTAAGCACTAGTACTGCCTCGATTTTGAGTTGCAAAACTGAGGCTCGAAGAGGTTGATTTGTTCAAAATTCCATCACATTTCAAATGTCATAGATGTAAATCTACCTTGAGCAACAGTTCCAGAGCCTGAACTCCTTAAGAGGTAATCGAATACTTTCCTGAAGAATGGGGCAGGCTTTATACTGATAAGATGATATTAGAACTAAGTCTTAAAGAATAATCAGTAAATTAAAGGTAGAAAATAGGGAGGGGTTGACAGGGACTAGTAATTCCAGACTAGAGGAACTGCCTGATCATAGAAATAGTGTGTTAAAAGTGGGTGGTGACGGGCGAGTATGGCCAAGAACACTGAGATTTGGCTGAGTGACCTAGAACTGTCTTCTCAAAGTCATTTGAGGTCTTGGGCTCCCAGAAGACCCGGGCGCCGGATAGGAACCGACGCATTGGGCTAGGGGTTAGCAGAGACTGGCCTGGGGCAGAAAAATGTGGGGAAGGAAACCCAGGAATTCTACCCAGAGTCCCGGCTCTGCCTGCCCTCAGTTACAGCCCAGCCCTGGGCTCTTTTCATCTAAAGCTGGCCCCATGCTTCCCAGTCCGGTTAGCCGCCGCACCACTAAACCACCCAGAATTCCTCGGGGTCCTAACCTGCTTGCCACCGCCCGAAGAGGTGGGCGTGGTCCGAGCTAAGAACCTGCGCCAATCAGCCTTCCCCAGCCTCTCGGAGCTCCGCTAAAACAACCAATGAGAGCCTTCTCCTTGGCCGCCCTTTCCCCACTGGAGAGCTGGAACCTGATCACTCTGTGGGAGACACCAGCTTTTCCCTGACGCTCCGCAGGCGCCCGCTTTCGCTAGGGCCTGCGGGCCTCTGTCATAGGATACCTTTCCAGCCCCGGGCAATTGTTGAAATGCCGCTCCAGTTTGACGGAGGATGGGATGGGGGCGGAGCAAGGCTGAAGGCAGGCGTGAGCCGTAGATCTTTGCGTATCACGTGGAATCACCCTAGCTCCCATCCTTGTCATGGATCTGTAATCTCGTTCTTTCCAGGCGATATCCCCCGTTTCAGAGAGTTGCATAACTGTTGGATTCCTCTTCCCTCTTTTGGACAACAGCAGTGTTCTCTGAGTTTCTTTACCTTCCTTTCCAGTTACTGACTCCAGGAAACCTTCCTTGATCCTTTCCCTCTTCTGGGTTCAATCGGGTCGCAGAGTCGGACACGACTGAGCGACTAAGCACAGAACAGCAAGTTCCCTTCATAACCTGTGCGTTTTCCTAACACTGTATACTGTTCCTTAGCTTTTCTGTCTTCCTCCCTAATCTGAGATTCATTTTTGAGTCCTGAGCACATTGCCTGACTATAGGTGGTGCTATAGCTCTGTTTCCTCAATGAAATCTTATGCAGAACCCTGATGCAATAACCACACTAAAGCAAAGCTGTTCTGATGAGTGTCCAGAGCCCTGGACCTTCAAGGAAGCCCCTGAGGCACAATAATTAATGACTTGAGCTGAAGTAATCAGTTTAATATATATGGCTTACCCAAGACATGAAAACTAAACATATCTAGAACCTCTAGGAACACCCTTAAAAAAATCTCATTTTTTAATTTCTAATCGATTACTCGTGTTTATTTTCCAGTCTAAAGACCTAGAGAGTTGTTTCTCTCTTTAGCATAATTCCTCACTCTCTTCACTTAGCTCTCAGCTTCACAGGCTAAGCTGTATGGACCACATCAACAGATCCCTTACCTCTGACTTTCTACTGGGTTCAGCCAGTGAGTAGCATAGGCAGAATATCAGAGGGAAGTAGGAGTGTGAGGTTGGGACGTTTAATCCTTCGGACCTCGGTTTCCCTATGAGGGTTGTGGACTCACTCGAACCCCCTTGCTAACATCTCACTCCCACCTTGTGGCCCTGTCTACTTAGTTCCCTGTTTTTGTTTTTTTAATTAGCCTGGAACAAGCAGACACTCAAGCTATGGAGTAGTTGTCTTCTGCCATGTACCTGAAGAAAGAAAAAAAATTGGCAGGGAGAATAGGTCAAAGTCATCAGACAGAGGGAAGCAGAGGTAAAATAATGTCTCCAGACAATGAACCTAAGATAATGACTGCCCAGGATTTGGTCAGCTTTGGAGATCTGCCTGCATTCTTGCTCTTGAGTTTGTGAGATAACCATGCATCCTTATATAAACTCCATTTTTTCCCTCAAAACTATTACAGATGAGTTTCTATTTCTTGCAACAAAAAGTCTTAACTAAGACAGTATCTAGCTCAATGTGGTTATAAAGACTGAATGATAAATGAGATAAAGTATTTCAGATATCTAAATCAGAACCTCCAAAACATTACTTTCTCCATTCTAACTGTAAATGACACCCATGTGTCTGAGAATCAGACTTACATGTTTTTTAGACTTCTTATTCAGAATGAAAAGCCCATATCACTGTCAGTATTTTTGTAAGCTGTTCATCATTCCAGCTTTTCCTCTTTCAAATGCTATTTTGTTCGTGTTCTAGGTGCTAATATATTAATGTTTGTGTTTTCATATGTT